ATTTCGTCCCGTCCACATTTCATTTGATAATTCAATTAAGATGAATCTTTAAAGTTTCAGCTATTCAAAAATAGGTACGTCTAAATCTTATTGTTGTGTTTACTGAATCATTACGATTTAGAAAGACCAATAAAGAATGGATAGATGTCCTCTATTCGTTCTATACATTTATCGAGATTAATTTTCTGTTCGTCATTTGATCACGTGCATTAGTAGCTATTGTCTGCAATAAATTCATATAACAGTCGAACAAGAATGAATAAAATTGAAGTGCTCAAAAGTTCCAGAGGAAATTCTATGGTATATTGTTCGGGATTTTTCTATACCCAACATAGAATTACTGAAGAAAAGCGTATATTTCGATGTACAGATCGAGATTGTCGTAGTAAGTATCAATCGCAAAATATAATCTGAAAATTCTTTAATATTATATTTTTCGGTCGTTGTCAAACAAATATCCAGATGCAAGTTTTCATTAAAGAACCATCCAAACATTCACATGCACCTGATCCAGATCGACTTCACATAATTCGACTTAAAAATGAGATTAAACTTCGTGGTACATCATCAGATGAAGCACCAAGTACAATCTTATTTGATGTATTACGTTCAACACCATTGACAGCAGCACCTGGTTTACCTACGAATGATGCATTATTGCAAACAATTCGTCGTGAACGACCAGCTATACAACTTGATCATCATGGTCGTTTACCTCTAATATTACGACAAACTGATCGCGGTGAAAGCTTCATCTTGTATGAAGATGATTCTATGGTTATATTTACATGTGATAAAAATCTTTCGGTATTAAAGGAATGTAAACATTGGTTCATGGACGGAACCTTCAGTGTATGTATTCTTTTTCCTAACTTCTTCTTGAGAGAATTCGATTATTTAGATTTGTCCCAACAGTTATTATCAATTATTTACTATTCATGGAATGTATTCACTTCAAATTATTCCTCTTGTATATGTTTTACTTATTGGAAAAAATACTAATGATTATAATAGTCTTTTTGAACAGCTCTTATTGCACTATGATTATGAACCCGAGTCTGTTTTAGTTGATTTTGAGAGTGCTACTCTTAAATCAACCAAGACAATGTTTCCCGAAGCTATTCAGATAGGTAATTTATATACGACTTTTTTGAGCCAAAAATTACTTTTGCTATAAGCTTAGGTTGTCTATTTCACTTTGGACAGTGCTTGTGGCGAGAAGTACAATCATTAGGTTTACAAAATAAATACACGAATGATGATAAATTTCGTATAAACGTAAAAAAACTAATGGGACTTGCATTTGTACCTGTTGGTGATGTACTTAAAGCTTATGCATCTTTAGTTAATGATTTTGATGATGAAGATTATCTTTTACTTGATTATTTTGAACGAGTATGGGTTGGTCAAAAGAAGGGAAGAGGTCTGTGTCATTTTAGATCTATATCTTTGATATATTTAATACTATAACGTGAATTTAGGTAGCCGACGTGGTAAACCAAGATTTAGTTTACAATTATGGAATATTTATGATCGAGTTATACAAGACTTGCCAAGATCTAATAATGCCATAGAGGGTTGGCATCATGCATTCAATAATCGTGTATCAATCAAACATCCTTCTATAACTAAACTTGCAAAATGTATACTACGTGAACAAGCTAGATTTGAAATAGATATTGAACGACTTCGTGCAGGTGAACTACCAAAGAAAAAAAAAAGAGTTTATGTTGATCTTGATGCACGATTGAAAAGAGTCGCACTGTCTTATGATGTCAATAATATCGAGGAATATTTAACTAGAATTGCTATGAACTTGAAAATATGGACTTGAATTTACTTTAATAAAATTTTTTAAATATTATTGTAATGTAAATTGATAGATACTGTATGGGACGAAATGTAAAGGGACGAAATAAATTTGGGACGATTAGTAAGGGGATAAAATGAAATTGGGGCAAAATGTAAAGGGACTAGTTGTAAAGGGACAAAATGTAAAGGGACTAGTTGTAAAGGGACAAAATGTAAATGGGACGAATTGTAAATGGGACGAATAATAAGGGGCCGAATTGTAAAGGGACGAAATGTAATTGGGACGAGTTGT